ACAATCTCAATCTCTTCACCATCCATCCTGATGCTGCCAATTGGTCCAGTGGTGAGAATCTTTGTCTTCTTGATATTGAGCCTCAATCCATATTGAAGGCTGCAGTCCCTGACCCTCAGCAGCAAGCGCTTCAGGTTCTCCTCAGATTCAGCAAGCAGGGTTGTGTCATCTGCATCATGCAGATTGTTGATAGATCTTCCACCAATCCTGATGCTGCATTTCTCCTCATAGAGTCCAGCCTCCCGGATGATCTGTTCTGCATACAGTTTGAAAAGATATGGAGATAGGACACATCCCTGGCATACGCCCTTCCCAATTTTGAACCATGCAGTGTTCCCTTGCTCTGTTCTGATGGCTGCCTTTTGGTTCAAGTATAGATTTCGCATTAGCACAATCAAGTGTTCTAGGATTCCCATTCTTCTCAGAGTCAACCACAGTTTGTTATGATCCACACAGTCACACACCTTTGCATAATCAATTAGGCAGAGATAGACATTCCTCTGGTACTCCCTGCTTTCATCCAAGATCCATCTAACATTAGCTATAATATCCCTAGTACCACGACCCCTGCTAAACCTAGCCTGAACTTCTGGCAGTTCTCTGCTGATGTGCTGTTCCAGTTGTTTTTGGATAATCTTCAGCAGAATCTTGCTTGCATGTGAGATCAACAATATTGTTCTATAGTTTCCACACTCTGTTGGCTCACCTTTCTTTGGAATGGGAACAAATATAGATCTCTTCCAGTCAGTACAGAACAGAGAAGAAGAATCAGTAGTCGGGAAACTTGGACTTTGTGACAGAAATGGATCTGGACATAGAATGATTGAATTTTGCACAATGACTTATTCATCGCAAACACGTTTTTTTAAGAGACATAAATGCAGGTTATACACATGGATCTCACCTCACGGTATGCATAGGAATCAAATCGATTACATCTGCAGAAAGAGCCACTGGAGAAGCTCAGTATCAGCTGTGAAAACTAGGCCAGGAGTTGATTGTAGAACAGACCAGCAACTACTCATATAATATGCAACTAAATAGATACTCTGTGTGATTTTAAATTTGTTTAATGGATTAAAATGTTATATAAAGAGAATTGTTTTTCTTTCTTTTTTTACTTTGAAACCCTTTTATTATGTTGTTCTTACGTGCCATCGAGTGCCTGTGAATTATAGACACCCGATGTGCAATAGCTCTGAACTCTGACCTATCCTGAACCAGTCTTACTGATTCCAACACATCTAATCCCATTGCCCCAGTTATCATGTCAATCCATTTCATCCAGGGTCTTCCTCTCCTGTGCTGTCCTCCATCCTTCCAGGCATGATGTCCTTCTCCAAGAACATGTCCCTTCTGGCCATATGCCCAAAGTATGTGACAGAGCTTCAAAATCTTTGCCTCTAAGGAGGAACTTGGTTTCACCCTCTCCAAGACAAACCTGTTTGTTCTCCTGGAGGTCCATGGTATGTTCAAAACTCTTCTCCAGCAATACAATTCAAAGGCATCAATTCTACTTCTATCATCAGTCATTGTCCAACTCTGTAATGCATAGCAATAGTTGCAAAAATCATGGCCTGAATCAGGTGCACCTTAGTCTCTAGACTGGCATTTTTGTTCTTTAGCACTTTGGAGAGGTCCCTGGTGGCAGACTTTTTTTATACAAAACAACTTTCATGTAAAATCTATATGAAAGGAGAGATTAGTGTATAATGAAGGTATAATGGAAATAGTTAGCAATTTTTGGCCAGTTTTGTTCCATCTCCAGTTTTGTTTACTAATGTGTTTGTCCCACCCAGATAGTTTATATTTTTATTGTGATTTGAGTGAAAGTTTACAGATAGTTCATTTCTTATCCCCAACAATTCTTTTTATTTATTTTTATTTATTTATTGTGCGTGTACCGTCAAATCAGATCTGACTGGTATAGGAGGGAAATTTTCCTTCCTTCTCTGGCAGAGCATCAGGCAGATTTGAACCGTTACCCCCAACAATTCTTATATATTTTGTTTTGTGACATTGATTGTAGTTTCTCAGTGTAACAATATTTCCCTTGCTCTGTTTCCCCCCTATCTTTTCCTGACTTCCATGCTTTATCCCTGGCGATATAATGTTCTTTTGATCTTGTCTGGTTGATTATTCTTATGATCTCCTTCCCTTTCACCCTGACAATTTAAGGCAACATCGAAGTATCATATAAGATATAAATAACAATGGTATAACTCTGAATTGGAAGCAGGAGTGGCATCCACTTCCTAAACAACATGCCTCTGGAAACTCTATGAGCTTAGAGAAATGATGATAGTTATACAACAGGGTTCAGGTCTTTTGTTCACAGGGTCGCTATGAGTTGTACTCAGTGCAACAGCATTTAACAACAACAACAACAACAATAACCATTCATGATGACTCCATGAACAACAGATCAAAACCTTGCTTTATTCTGCATCATCTTCACAATCTCCTCCATTCTCAAGTTCATTGTTGTGATCACTCTATCAGTCTACTTCTTTGAAGGTTTTCTTTTTCACTTACCCTGTACCTTTCCCAGCATGATGTCTTTCCCCAAGACTGGTACCTCCTGACTACAAGTCCAAAATGTGTTCTTTCACGTTTTTACCACCTTAACCTCTAAGGAGTACCCTTATTGCATTTCCTCCAACATAGATTTACTTGTTTTTTGGCAGTTTATGATATATTTAGTACTCTTCACCAATGCCCCAACTCAAAGGCACCTATTCATCTTCAATAGATATAAACAATTGCCTCCTGAAAATCCAGCAAGTTTTGTAAGGTCTGAGCTTCCTGGCCTGAAGGATCAGTATACAAATGCTTGTAATTTGACTTCTTATTGCTTGCTAAAACTTACCCTGCAGGTTGGTATAGGGAGCAGGAGAAATTCTTAGCACCCACGTTCTCCATTTGTACATTTAATTAGTACCATTTTAAAGTGCATTTAATGAGGAAGAGGTTTTAAGTAATTGCATGAAATAGCTTTATGTGTATATAAGATTCTCCACATTTTATATTAATCTAGCCTGTTCCCCCCAAAAGGTGACTCAACAGAGTGCGGAAATTATCAAACAATATCACTAGTATCACATACAAGTAAAATCCTGCTGAAGATTATCCCATAATGACTGAACAGTACTTCAACAGAGAACTACCAGAAATACAAGTCAGTTTTAGGAGAGTTCATGGCACCAGAATATCATTGCCAAAATCAGATTGTTCTTGGCCAAAAGCAGAGTACCAGAGGAATGTTTATTTGCATTTCATTGACTATGCAAAAGCACTTGACTGTGAGCATCACAACAAATTAGGACTAACTTTGAGAAAAATGGGAATCTCAGAACTCCTGATTGTGCTCATGTGAAACCTATACTTGAACCAGGAAGCAGTTGTCAGAATAGAGAGAGGGGAAAAAAAGTGCTGCCTGGGTCAAAATCAGGAAAGGATTGTATCAGTTATGCATACTGTCTCCATACCTTTTCAATTTGTATGTGGAACAGATGATTCAAGAGGGTGGTCTTTAATGAGGAGGAATGTGCCTTTTGGTTTCAAGGAAGACTCATCTACAACCTGTGCTATGCAGACGATTCAACCCTACTTTTGACATTTAAAAGAACTGGAAACATTTGCTGCACAGGGTCAAGGACTGTAGTCTGCAATATGGATTGAAGCTCAACATCAAGAACTCAAAGATTCTCACCACTGGACTAATTGGCAGAACCATGATAGATAGATAAATAGATAGATCATAGATGATAGATAAATAGATAGATGATAGATAGATAGATAGATAAAGAGATTGAATTTGTTAATAATTTCAGCTTGCCCATGTCCACAGTAAACACTCTTGATACCAGCAGTCAGGAAATCAAAACAGTAACATTGGAGAAAGCTGTTCTCAGGGACATCTCCAGAGAGCTGAAGGATAAGGATGTCAGTCTAGAGGCTAAGGTGCACCAGATTCAGGCCATGTTCTTTGCAATTACTTGCTATATAGCAGAGAGCTGGACAATGACCAAGGATGACAGAAGAATTGATGCCTTTGAGCTGTGATACTGGACAAGAGTATTGAACATATCACAGACGGCCAAGAAAACTAACAAATCTGTCCTGCAGAGGGTGAAGACAAGCTGCTCCTTGGAAGCAAGGATTTGAGGCTCCATCTCACATACTTTGGGCATGTAGTCAGGAGGAATCAGTCCTTGGACAAGGATATCATGCTCGGAAGGGTAGAAAGACAGTGCAGGAGAGGAAGACCCCAGCCTAGCTGGATTGATACAGTAACTGGGGCAGTGAGGGTAGGTGTGTCAGAGGCAGTGAGATTGGCTCAGGATAGAGCAAAGTTCAGAGTTATCGTTCATAAGGTCACTATGAGTTGTAATTGACTTGACGGCACAGTACAACAACAACAACCAGTTCCACAGATTTCATAACGAATATAGTAGTTACAAAAGTGAGGAAAAGCCTCGCTTATTTGAAGCTGATTTGTGTTAACCATTCTAACAATATTTAGGTTGCTAGTGAGAAGAGCCTCCCCCAGGCAAGTAAGAAAAGAAGAGAAAAAGAAGGAACAAAGACAGATGTCCGTTTGCCTGAACTAAATTATAATCATCTCCCTGAACTACGAGCCTTGGAAGGAATAGGTATGTATATGATGCATTGCTTTTTCCAGCACTTTTGTTTATATAATTATTATGAAGTTACAGAGATCATGTGGATAGCACAGGATTGGACAGGGTTTGGATCTATTGTACATAGGGCACTTAACAACAACAAGCTAATATCCTAAAGACAACCTAAAGAGACCCTCCACTGGGTTTCTGAGGCTATAAAACTACTGACCTTTTGGTTAACAGTGCAACATATAATACACCATGCCCCCAGAGCACCTTAAATAGGCTAACAGAATATTAAAGTTCAATGGTAACTTGACATATTTAAGCATGTAAATATATACATATATGTATAAGTATATGCTGAAAAACTGATAATGTGAAAAGCTTATAAAAATAGCAGATTTTTCATTTCTTGTTTTTACGGTTCTTTTCATCTAGCTCGAAATTCCAGGCTAATAAGGAAAGAGAATAAAAATCTTCCAGAATCTCGAATTCCATCTCTGGCCTCTATTGACCTCCACACTCCCACTGCTGTGTTGCATCAGGTACGGAAATTCTCTTTGAAGGTTGTGTGGAACTCAGGTCCCCTTATACTTATTACTAAATTATTCTAGCAGAGTTTGCCCTTAAGAGTTGAAAGGGTTTATTGATGAGGCCTCAATTAAATTTTAGTTCATTCAAAATTTATTTTTATTGTTCATTGCACTTAGAACCTTTGTTATATATCTATATAAGCCTTTCTCAGCTTACAGAAATTATTTTTTGTGGATTAAAGAGTGTAAATATGTATGTATGTATGTATGTATGTTTATCTATTTAACCTTGCTAAGGACTCTGTATCACTGTGGATTTAGTAATAGCTGATACTGTTTTACTGTATTAACCCAAAAAGTATAACCTACCTATCTTCAGTTTTTCTTTTTTGCATATAGTCTGTTTGACCTTCTTTTTCTTAAGCAACCCATTTCATGTATGCTATACATTTGTGATTCCATATAATCTCTTTTAACTTCAGAATGTATACATTTCTGCTATTTATTTCTATAACAGCCAGATCACTCACACTTTTTTTACCTTCTCTTCCTTTTCCACCTCTAGTAATTGTCAGTCTGTTTCTTTGAGTGTAAAAAAGTTCCTTGATTTATTTTTATGATTGTGATTTCATACAGTATTAGCCCTTTTATGATTGATTAATTTGACTCAATATAATATTGTTCATCCATATTGTCAGGTGTATCAAATATTCATCATTATTCTTTACAGTTGTGCCTAGTACCCCATTATGTGCATGTGCCATAGTTTATTTATCCATATCACTCATTTTTACATGAAAAAGGCAGTCTGAAAAAATGGACAATTAGACATTGATGTGTGACAATGAACAATCTGGAATAAGACAAGTCTTAGAAAGTTAAGTGAGGGATGAGAAGGGAGGAAAATGTGTATGAATGAATGAAAACTAATCTCTGTCAACTTTCACTTAAGTCATAATTAAAAAAATAGATTAAAGAAAGGAAGATTTAAAAATCTTGTGAGTCTTCTGTAACTAAGGATAGATTTTGGATATCGATCACTATCCCTTTATTTGTTCAAACAGATTTCTCACCTTTGCTTGACATTATACAATTGTTTTAGAATTTAATTTTCATCCTTGTCATTATTACATTCTGTAGTTATGTAGAGTTCTGTAAACAAAAGGAATAGTATTATTGAAGATAACAAATTACAGAGGCTGTTACCCAGAGATGCAGAGAAAGGATTGAACTGCTGTTCCCTGCTGGGTGACATCTGAGTTGTTCTCAGCTTCCAGAGGCCCCCCCACATTTCTTGGTTAATGGCCTACTTACTTCATCTGTAAAGCCAGTAACAGTCCTTTGTCACACACTGAGTATCAGACTTTCTCTTAAAACTAATTTATCTTTTGCATTCAAGTTTTTATTCATGTTTCTAACTACTCTCCTCTTTTCAGATGCTCATGTAATTACACTGGACTGTCAAGGTTAATTCATTATCATTTCTCATTTTAATGTCAGCTGATTAGTAATCTTCATTTCATCTGTAAAATCCCTTTCCCACCATGCCTGAGGTAGAGCTGCTTTAATAACTAAAGATGGAAAGTTTGGGGGAGACATCTTTAGAATTCTGTCTACCACAGACTGTTTAGTCAAATTAAAAACAGTGTGGGAAAAACCCCAAAACAAAACAGTGTGACAGATGCCTGTGTGGCAGAGTAGTCTGACCTCCTCTAACTCACAAAGGGAAAGAATCCATATGTACAGCAACAGCATCACAAGACAGTTCCACTGAACTAAAACATATTCCACTATGCCCCATACTCTATAACTTCTTCTGTCAATTCCAGCACCAACCATCCCTCCTACAATTAACACTGCTTTTATACTGAATACAGTAATATGTTTCAATGGCCACACAGAACTCAGACGATACTCCTGATGATAGTGTTTATTAGGCAAGAAACAGGCCATAATCCAGGTGTGAAACTCTGAGGTTACAATTCTTCAGTCAGGACTTCCTCTTCTCGGGGATGCTGTAGGTGAGGTATTCTCTGCCCCTTAGCTTCATGGCCTCAGTCTCTACCCTGTTCTGGCAAGCTTTAGAAAGCGTTTGTACTCACTGTTTTCAAGTCGATTCTGAAACAGTGACCCTCCACTGGGTTTTCTAGTCTGTATATCTTCATGGGCGAGGAGACTTCTGTTTTTTTTCCATGGAGCCACTGATGGATTTTAACTGCTTGGTTAATATCCTGTTATGCTACACACTATATCACCAGGGGTTTTTGTAAAGCTCTTAAAGTTCTGTAAATTAGTTCTGCCACCACCACTCTGCCAGTGAGTCTAGGTCCAAAGATACTTGGCTGTAGATGGGTTGGCAGACTCAGCTCAGTTCTATCTCACACAGCTCTGATTCTCTTTCACTTCTACCGCCCTCTCTACCACTCTTAGGACTGCTGCCAACGATGCTGTGTCTATACTGCTGCCTACACTCCTTTGAGCAAAGGCACAGGAATAGAATGAGAACAAAACAGGAGACTTATCCTTATTCGAGGAGAGAAGTTTTTTAATTAAATGGTAAAGGTGATGAAATGTAATAGGTTTACACTGCCATATCATATCAGAAATATCTATCTCTATATATTGCTATTGTTGTTCATTGCTATTGAGTCAAAACAACTCATAGTCGACCATCGAGTTGGTTTCATGGAGCAGCTTGTTAGTCTTTCTCTGTGGAATAGCTGGTGGATTAGAACCATCGACCTTTGAGTTGGCAGTTAAGCTTTTTAGCACCAAGTCACCAGAACTCCACGTATATATTTGTTATTGTTAGATGCCATTGAGTTGAGTATAATTCATAGCGATCATATGACACACTTGAGCTCATTGCTTTAGTCACCTTTTTGAGGATCTATATAGTTAAGGATTCCCATTCTTCTTTGGGAATCCTTAACTAAATAGATCTTCAAAAAACTGTGGCTGACTCTGAGAAGAATGGGAATCCCAGAACACTTGATCGTTCTAATGCAAAACCTATACTTGGACCAGGAGGCAGTCGTCAGAACAGAGCAAGGGAACACTGCACGGTTCAAAATTGGGAAGGGTGCACGCCAGGGATGCGTCCTATCTCCATACCTTTTCAACCTGTATGCAGAACAGATTATCTGGGAGGCTAGGCTCTATGAGGAGAAATGTGAGGTCAAGATTGGTGGACTATCTATCAACAATCTGCCTTATGCAGATGACACAACCCTGCTTGCTGAAACTGAGGAGGACCTGAAGCGCTTGCTGCAGAGGGTCAAGGACTGAAGCCTTCATGCCAAGAAGACAAAGATTCTGACCACTGGACCAATTGGCATCATCAGGATAGATGGTGAAGAGATTGAGATTGTTCACAGCTATAGTCTGCTTGCCTCCACAATCAACACTCTTGGCACCAGCAGCCAGGAAATTAAAAGACGTATTGCGATGGGAAAGTCTGCTGTTAGGGGCCTCTCTAAAGTTCTGAAGAGCAGTAGTGTCTCTCTGGAGACTAAGGTGCATCTGATACAGGCCATGGTCTTTGCTATCATTTGTTATGCATCAGAGAGTTGGAAAATGGCCAAGGAGAATAGAAGGAGAATTGATGCCTTTGAGCTGTGGTGCTGGAGAAGAGTATTGAGAGTACCATGGACTGCTAGGAAAACAAACAGATTCATTCTGGAAAGGGTTAAACCGGGCAGCTCACTGGAGGCAAGGATTCTGAGGCTCTGTCTGACAGACTTTGGACATGTTGTAAGGAGGGACCAGTCCTTGGAGAAGGACATCATGCTTGCGAGGATGGAGGGACAGTGCAGGAGGGGAAGGCTCTCTATGAGGTGGATTGATTCAGTGACTGAGGTAATCGAGATGGATGTGTCAGAGACAGTGTGATTAGCACAGGACAGAGCAGAGTTTAGGGCTGTTGTACATAGGGTCGTTATGAGTCACAAGCGACTCGACGGCACATAACCACAACAACATAGTTAAGGAGCTATGGTCACCTAGTGGTAAGAAGCTGCACTGGAATCCCAAGGGCACATGGTTAGAATCCACTAGCTGCTCTGTGGGAAAAGGATGGGCAACCTCCTCCCATGCAATTTACTGTCTGTGAATAAATACTAGAGAGTCAGCTATGAGTCCGTTCCGACTTGATAGCATATACATACATATGCTATTACGTCAGAGACTAATGTCCTATTATTTCATCATCTTTCATGCAAATAACTGGAGCTACAAATAGTTAAACCTAAACATCTTATCTTTGAACTATCAGAATTGAGGTATTTGGCAAGCATCAATAAATTCAAAAGCATAGAAATAATACAAAACCATCTTGTCAGACCATAATGCTACAAATTTAGAAATTAATAATAGGATGATAAAGGAGAAAAACCATACATTTGGAAGCTGAACAAC